TGGCTCATGGGCATTTTTCTCGGGGATGGTTGTCTTGGCTATGGTTGGCATGGGGACTGTTGGCATGGCGATGGTTGGTGAGGGGACGGTTGTCTAGATGACAGTTGTCTCGATGACGTGTGTATCAGCGATGGTTGTCATGGGGACGGTTGTCTCAGGGACGCTTGGCGTGGGGACCGTTGGCATGGCGACTGTTGTCTCGGCGACGGTTGGCGTGGGGATCGTTGTCTCGGGGACGGTTGGCGTGTGGACGGATGGCATGGGGACAATTGTTTCAGCGATGGGTGCCTCTGTGACTGGTGTCTCGGTGACGGTTCACGTGGCCGCGTTTGGCGTGGGGACTGTTGTTGTGGCGATGGTTGGTGTGGGGACAGTTGGTGCTGGGAGGGTTGTTTTGGGCATGATTGTCTCGGGGATGATTTTTTTGGGGACAGTTGGCTTGCAGACAGTTGCATGGGGGCAGTTGTCACGGCGACGGTTGGCGTGGATGCAGATGTCTATGCAACGGTTGGCATGCAGATGGTTGTCTTGGTAATGGTTGTTTCAGTGACAGTTGGCGTGGGCACGGATGGCCTGGGGACGATTGGCCTGGGGGATGGTTGGCGTGGGGAACGGTTTTCTCAGCCACGGTTGGTATGGGGACCGTGGTCTTGGCGATGGTTGGTGTGGGGGGCATGGGGACTGTTGTCTCGGCGACGGTTGGTGTGCGGACGGTTCTCTCAGGGACGAATGCCGTCTGGGCTATTGTTTTAGCGATGGTTGGTGTGGTGACTGTTGTCTCGGTGATGGTTGTCTCAGCGATGGGTGGCATGGGGACCCTTGTCTCGGCAATGTTTGGCGTGGGGACTGTCGTCTTGGCGACAGTTGGCGTGGGCATATTTGGCATGGGGACTGTTGTCTCAGCGATGGTTGGCGTTGCAATGGTTGGCATGGGTACCCTTGTCATTGGGATGGTTGATTTGGGGAAGGATGTCTCGGGGACGGTTTTTGTGGGGATATTTGGCCTGGGGGCGGTTGTATCTGGGACGGTTGCTGCGGGGCCAGTTGTAACAGTTACTTTTGGATGTCGAGGCAACTGTTTTTATAGGGATGGTTGTCTTGGTGATAGTTGTCTCAGTGACAGTTGGCATGGACACGGTTGTCTCGGCGATGGTTGGTGTGGGGACGGTTGTCTCGGTGACGGTTGGCGTGGGGACTGTTTTCTCGGTGACGGTTGGCGTGGCGACAGTTGGCGTAGGGACCGTTGTCTTGGTGACGGTTGGCGTAGGGACCGTTGTCTCGGCAGCGGTTGGCCTTGGCATGGTCAGCTTGCGGATGGTTGTCTTAGCGACAAGGGGATGGTTGTCTTGGCGACGGTTTGTGTGGAGACTGTTGTCTTGGCGACGGTTGGTGTGGGGACGGTTGTCTTGGTGACGGTTGGCATGGGAACAGTTTTCTCTTCGGTTGGTGTGGCAATGGTTGGCGTGGGGACCGTTGTCTCGGAGACGGGTGGCGTGAGGACCGTTGTCTCGGCGACGGTTGGCGTGGGGATCGATGTCTTGATTAATGGTTGGCGTGGGGACCATTGTCAAGGCGACGGTTGGCATGGGGACCGTTGGCGTGGTGACTGTTGTCTCGGCGACGGTTGGCATGGGGATCCTTGTCTCAGGGACGGTTGGCATGGGGACGGTTGTCTTGGCGACGGTTGGTGTAGGGTACGTTGTCTCGGTGAGGGTTGTCTTGGCGACGGTTGGTGTAGGGACCGTTGTCTTTGAGACGGTTCGCGGTGCGATGGTTGGCCTGGGGACTGTTGTCTCAGCGACGGTTGGTGTGGGGACCGATGTCTCGGCGAACTTTGGTATGGGAATGGGGACCGTTGGCTTTGGATTGTTTGTTTTGGGGAGGGTTGTCTTGGGGTCGATTTTTGTGGGGACACTTGGTTTGGGGGCAGTTGTATCTGGGACGGTTGGCATGAGGGCAGTTGTCACGGCGATGGTTGGCCTGGATGCAGATGCGTAGGCAATGGTTGATATGGGGATGGTTG